AATGGAAAATATTTATTTTAATGCATTATTTTTATAGCCCGACCAGGAACATAAAAACCCTCGCCATGTTGCGGAAAACTAATGGTACTAATTTCTTTTAATGGCAACAGTAACTGAAAACTTCATTGATATGTCACCTTGCATGTCAGTCTATTGCTGTCAAAGTGTAAACAAACTTTATTTTAAATGTGTGCAATTGATTTTCTGAATTAAATTGCTAAAATCTTTTTATAGTCGTGAAAGAAAAGTGGTTCACAATGTGAAGTATTTATCGAAGAGAAATACTAAGGGTTCGGACAATATTTTCATTAAATAATGTTTCCGACAAAGGTTGTCAAATTGACTGACATGTTTATCGTATAGTACAGTCAACTATGAAAATTAGCTGTGGTTTGTTTCAACTACCTATTTTAAAGTTTTTTGTCACTTTGTAAGTGTTGAATTTTATGGAATTGGGAAAGAAGTACCGAGTTTGAAGCGTTCATGAGCAGACATTGTAGTTGAATATTCAAGTTCAGAATGTTATTATTGATGAATAATAATAAAATCCTACTTGCTCGATTGATGGTTTCATTTAATTTATTTAAATCAGTTTACCTATAATGTAATATTTTTTTGTTAATTTATGAAAACATTAAATTAGCCTATAATCCTGAATCCTGATACATAAAGTTAGCCTATTAATTTAATACAGGTACGACTATACCCAGTGTTGCACTATCAAATGCAATTGACGCGCCTTTATGCCAGGGTTTTTATGTTCCTGGTCAGGCTATACAAAGCTTTTACAATAATTTGTCCCATTAAAGTTACTTTATCTAGGTCCCCAGATATTTAACCAAGTCATGATAATGTTTGCCTGATAAAATCAGCTTGGTTTAATTTATTATCAAGTCTATTTGATCAAGACAAAGAAGAGGTTAATGTACTAAAACTATATCAGTAAAAGTGGTCAGTTGACATGATTAAACTATTTCTATAAAAACAAGTTTGTGAAATTAATTCGAATTCGATTCAACATGCAAAAATAAAAGATCCAACTTCATGACATAATACATTCCACTGTTTTCATGGACATCATGACGAATGGTAGTCTAAATGTTATAAATAACGATTCTAGCGAAGATATCCGACTTTTGAATAAAACAAACGTACCAAATAAATGCGACGAAATAGTTCAAGTATATGATAATGTGTGATAATGTATTCCTAGGTCTTTAGGTTTATCACACAATCAAGTTTTAGAAGAATGGCATTGGTCAATTTGAATTGCATACGTTTTACCTTCAGATTTGAGATATTTAGGTCGAAATTTAGTTTTCAATTAGGTAAATATTTATGTACAAGTTACCTACTAACATTGAATGAGAGTGATTCAGTCTTTACAGCAATACCTTGAATGTGTGGTTAAATATTTTAAAGAGGACTTCGTAAATTAATTTTATTCGATTAGTAACCTACTTTTCATTCCAGCTAAACGAAAACTTTCCAAGGGCTTTATGATGATATCATGACAACCTATTTGGAAGGTTACCTAAACATTAACTACTAATTATACTAATGTAATTAGCTACTTTCACAAACATTGGCGACAATTTTGGGTCACAACCAAAGCCTAGGCATTAGATTCTAATTTAACTAGTATGATGCAATAGTACACGCAATTTCTACGCGTAGGCGAGTACATCTCGAAAGTTATTGTATGCTAAGCCGATAAGCCAATTACTACAAGCTATACAATAACGAATACCCCTCGAACTCCGTCTTTTCAAAACATAATCGGCTTTTTTCCCAAGGATTCTTGTTAGACAATAAAATTTCATATTTCATTTCAGGCAATAAGTATAAATAGTTTATATTACAGAGATACTTTCGAGAAAATAACATTTTCCGCTCTACATGGCGCAAAATATTTAGTTCTAATACAGTCAATTAAGAAGTATTACAATGTAAATTACAATTGGTTTGCAATTGAAAACATTGTCACGGTTTAAAATGTTATACAAAAAGTGAGTCAATGCCATTACAGATCGTAATAATTGTTTAATCTCTGCATTCATAGTATAATTTCAATAGTTGTGGCTTTGGCATAGCAACAGGCATAGTTTGTTTTTAGATAAAAAACTTCATAGTGTAGTTTTAAATTTAAATCCTATTCAAGGCTACAACATTATAACTAATTACTAATTTTCTGCTTAGCCAAAAGGTTGACTGGGAGACAATAAAGAAACCTGATTGTCATACAAAAAGTTACACAATGAAGAAACCTTATGCCTAATAATTATTTCAATAAAACGATGTCAAATGTAATTTAGATTAAATCATTGGCAAATAGTGTTTACTGGTAAAAATTTATTATACTAAACCAAATTTCGCAGTGAAAGAATAAGAGATGACTCACTGGACTAGTCTCTTACTAAACACCTCAAGAACCGGATTGAAATCGGACAGATAATTGGATTATTGTTTCGCGGAAACAGATTGCCAAGTAGCAGATTAGAAAAGGAAAAAAAAAAAAAACAAAATTTCATATTTTAAAATAACATACCTGCATAGTAACTTCATACTGGACCACGAGAGGCTTGTCTTTGAACTCAAATGGCCTGTCCAGGAGTGTGGATATGGCCGCGTGCTTGGCTTCCGTGGTCAGCACCAATCCCAAGTCATCCTTCAGGATCTTCTTTGTTGGTGCTTGGATCTAAATAGAATGCAATTGGATTAGAAGGAGAAGAAGTAAAATATGGATGAGATAATCCACTGTAACTATCTTAAGTACATACTTCACTTTATCTTCAAAGGTACTAGTTTACAAATTTTTTACTATGGAATAACATTCATGTTCTTAGGTAGATTGAAACATAGAAAAGTTTAAAACTATAAAAACCTAGATATCAGGGAAGTCTTAAAACCAATTAGAAAAAAACTATTCTCATGAACCTATATCAAACAAATGTGTTGTTCTTGGACAAGATCACAAGATTATTAAAATAAGAATGAAATTTAAAACTAATTTAAAGTAAACAAAGATAAGTCTAAATCGTCACAAAATTAAATGGGCAATGCTCATTGGGGTACTAAAACCTGATTTTTTGTTTTAGAATTTTGAATTAATGATCATTATAATTTAAATTCAAGGTTACAATGGCATTTTTATTCTAATAGGAATCACTATAACATTATTCTAATCAGCATTCTATATCATAGTCTCAATGATCTCTATACAAAGATTTACAATAAAAAATGTAAATTCAGGAAAAACAATTTAGTAAAAATAAATGCAAAACTACTTACACTCCATTTGCCATCATATTTGGCGATGTTCTCATCGACACCCTGCTTCTTGGCCTCCGATTTAACCCACTTCTTCTTAAAAGCGGCTTCATCGTCAAAGTGCTCTGCGAGGAACACTTTCTTCGGGTCTATTGTCGGACTGTGGTACTGGTCATCTTCTTCGACCTACACAAATGACATAACAATCAAAGTTAATCATGAAATTATTATACTACTAAATATAAAATATTTTTTTTCAAATAAAAGTAGTTCAGTGTGAATTACACTGGTTTTTTAGTACAAGACAACTAGTATTACATTGTTTTTAGTACAAAACAAGTGTAGCTGTTGGCCTATGGTGTAAAGACTGGTAGATGATGTACAGTTCATTCAGCAATAAGGTACTCAAGTACAAAATCTTTCTGCAAGAAGCAGAGCTATCTCTAACTGTTGCTAAGTAGGTCATGTAACCTGTATCTGTATGACATGATTAATAAACTAACCTCCACAGAGATCCCATCATCTGAGTTTTCACTTTCCGCCTTCACAACCACTGCACTTCCCACTAACACCAGTAAGGCACTCAACGCTAACACCCGGTACCCTCCTCGAGCCATCTGAAATGAAAACCCCATCAAATATTTCACTGATAACGCTTACACGTCGGCCGCTAATAAATAAGTAATGCACACGCTAGTCACAGTTCCAACTTTTACCACGTCTGTTTCAAACTACAGTAGAACGCCGATTATCCGAATTAATTGGGACCGGGGTAGATTCGGATAATCGAAAATTCGGATAATCGGACATAGACTAGTAATAAAGAAAAAACGAGTTAAAAACGAACTGACACACATAGAATATACTTTATTAACTGTGTTTAGAGTTCTACAATAACGCTTAGTTGAAAAATATCTAGACTCCTGTGAGTTCCAACATGTTACAATACAACAAAACAAAAATTACTTGGTTTAAATTTTTTATATTACGCTTAGGACCGATTCGGATAATTGGCGATTCGGTTAATCGGCGTTCGGATAATCGGCGTTCTACTGTAATTCAATTAAAAAACTGCAAGAACAGTTCGAAAACCAAGCAGCTAATAGAAGAGCGCCGGAAATCGGATATCCTCAATAAAAGGGCCGGCGACCCAGCCCTAAGTCAGCTCTAATTTATTTATGAAGTTTAGAACCATAACTCACCTTGCTCTTTATTTATTACACTTATTGTTACTGTTCAACACATAAAAAAACTAGCTTTTGTGCTCGTAAAATCCAAACTAAACCTCAATGATTTTCAGTTTCCTCTGAAAAATTTCAGCCAATCAAAAACAAACAGTTGTCAAGGAAGTGGTCGAGAATTTTCCGATGCGTTTGTGGAACAAAATTTTTGAAGAAATAATCAATGGTCTGATATCAAATGAAAAATTATATTATGGGTTTTCTAAATAAAATCTAGTGTCTTCTGATTAAATTCTAGTTACTAGAATTTGGATAAAGTATTTTTTTTTAAAGGAAAAGGATTTTGTATCTTTGAAAGATTTTAAAAATTGATGCCTTGAGTCGTATCTTTGATTTAAAAAACTTAAACAATTACGTACAATCCGGACAAATTAGCATGTCATCCTGTCAGCTGTCTGTTTGAATTGTTGTCTCATTCTGCCTCTTCAAATGCGTGTTGGTACATCTCTTTCTTACAAGTCATATACATTGATTAAATATCAGTTTACATTTTGTTACATTAACATCTTGAGGGATTGTTTCGTCGTGTCGAGTTTTGCGACAATAAAAATTCAATTAAAATAAAAACATTACTGTGTTTTATGGAAGTAAAGATTTAGATTGAAATATCTTTGGTGGTTTCACATGTTCCTAGATTTACAACCCTGACTGAAGTCAGTAAAGCGAACATTCAACGTTATATCCTACTCTGGTGAGATAAATTTTGTAATGGTTTATATTTTTAATATTTAATCAGCTGCTTGATACGTTAACTTAATACACGTTTCTACATTCTAGTATTAATTGATAGCTATGTATTAACGTATAGAGCTACGTTTTACGTGGCTAGCTGTTGCCGTGTAATAAAGTACACAGTAGCTATGTACCTATTAAAAATATTTTTATCTTATAAAATATTTTCAAGAGAGTAATTTATGTGGGAAATAAGCGTTTAATACTTTGAAACATCCACATTGAACTAATTCTACAATCTTATCAGATAAGCTTTTTTTAATACCAATAATTTTAATACTGGGTCTTAAATTTAATCCGTTAGATTATAATAAATCTGTGATAGTTTTTAGAATTCTTTTAAAAATTCTTTAATGATATTAATACTGTTGTTACGCAGTTTATATTAACTTTTTATTACATTTTTCATTAATCATGAAGGCAAAAATATAATTTAAAGTTTGATTTAATTCCCAAAATCCTTTTACAAAATATGAGTAATTAGATTAGTTAATATTGTAAGTGAGTTTATACATGCGTGACTTCTTTTATTATCATTTATTTTATATTACTACACATAATTAATAATTATCTATTTTCTTTAACGCAGATCATGGTATTCTTTAGACGTTACCTTGTCCGGTTGTTCCGGCTGCGGAACCTAGTCACGTTTACGATCATACTGATCATTCTCTACATGATCAAGAACATCAGCAATATCACTGTAGACTCCGATATCCCTGCGCAAGAGGCTCAAGTAAAGCCGGTCGACGCTCCAGAGAAACCTCCGTATTTTGTGCCCACAAGTGCAAAGGTATTGTAAGCATTTATTAGCTTCAAAGTTGATCTTGGTTTTCCATAGTGAATGTGTATGTAGCAAAGTAAAGTTGACTTTACTTAAATGAACGAAACAAAATATGTAATTAATTAAAAGCTCTTGGTGGTTTCATTACGTTTAAAATAATAGACAATGTAAAAAGCTATGTCTCGATGTGTGTTAAATAAACAATATTAAAGTAATATTATGAGAAAAGTGAAAATGTCATGCCTTCTTAATGTGAGAAATGCATTATCTACCAAGGAATCTGAGCAAACATTTCAGTTTGTTAGGCACTTATCTTTAGGTATGATAACAAAACAACCATTTCCACCCAGTTACTGGAAAGAGCATCGTAAATTAAATATTAGAACAGTTTATTTGATCCATTTCATGCACAATTTTATTTATAGCATGATGATATTTGAGTGATTTTTTAAATGAAGTATAGGTACATATGTTTACAGGCATAGCGCGTTAAATGAGTAATTTTATTTGTTGTTGCGATTGTATGGTTTTTGTATGGTTTCAGAAAAAAGACTGGCACAACTACACACAAATAAGAGAAGACCAGAATCGAGAGGGTATGTGTTATTTAATAATTTTGTAGTTTTATTTAGGCATAACTTATATAAAAATATTTCTTTAGGACGAGAGGCGCCACTTCCGATTGCATCGCTTAAATTATGCATAACTTTTGATGAAATGTATGCTACATTCGCTTCAAGGCGTCATAATATATTTCGATTTTAATTGTACCGAAATATTTTTTTCAATTTGGCTAAATGACTTTCACCCAGAGCTGTGAAGTATAATTTAAAAATCCACCTTTTTTGTGGAATGTGGGTAGTTAAAATAATATTTTTCGAAGGTATTGGAGAACACGGGCAGCCAGCCGAATTGCCGGAGAAGGATAGTGCTTTGGAAGAGCGGCTTTACGCCGAGAATGGCTTCAACGGAGCCCTAAGCGACAGGATTCCTTTAAACCGGTCTCTGCCGGATATCAGGTGAGTTGGATTTTCATAACATCGCGATTTGTGATTGCGTTAAGAAGAGGTCTTCTTAGCATTTTTTAACACACGCCATTTCTTGTCCAACTCAAAGTACCTACATTATTTATCTACCGTTATTAATAACGGTTATTTGTATTTAAATTGCGATAGCTGCTTTTTTATGTTCCTATAAGCCTCTTTGTGTTGTGATTGTGATTCTGCAAAGTTTTTTTTTCAATTGCGTACGCACGCCATTTTTTTGTCCAACTTCAAATACCTACCCATTGTTGTTAAATTATAGCGGTTTTGTTGTATTTCAACTCTGATTGGTACTAATTTATGAAAACTAGTAATTATTATATACCTACGAGCCTTTTTAGATACATTTACTCAGACGGTTTGACCTTTGATCAGTATGCGGTTATGCGATAAATATGGCGGGCCTACCGCCACATTCGGAGATTACCCTCATATAAATACACTGACGAATTTTCTTCTTTTCCTTAAAATATATTTTATGATATTATTAGACATTGCTTAAAATTTTAAATAACTGTCCTCTTCCTGGGTAGTCTCGCTAAAATTATTTTCGTAAGTGTTGTTTGTGGGTAGGTAGTCTAGAATCTGTTCCAACGTTTCACCTTTTTTTGTGACTGTGCAGCATTCAAGTATCTATCTCATCAACAGACATCCCGGCTGCAAAAAGAAGCTGTACATCGAGTCTCTGCCTACCGTCAGCGTGGTGGTTCCATTCCACAATGAGCATTGGAGCACGCTGCTGCGGACAGCGTACGGGGTCCTCAACCGGTCGCCTCCACACCTGCTCAGGGAGATATTTCTAGTCGACGATGCTAGTACCAAAAGTGAGTTACTTTTTTAAGCGTCATTGTGATTATTGGTGCTTGCTTTCCACAATGAGCAGTGGAGCACTCTTCTGCGGACAGCATACGGGGTCCTCAACCGGTCGCCTCCACACCTGCTCAGGGAGATCTTTCTGGTCGACGACGCTAGTACTAAAAGTGAGTGACTTTTTTAAGCTTGATTGTGATTATTGGTGGTTCCTTTCCAATGAACATTGGAGCACTCTGCTACGGACAGCGTACGGGGTCCTCAACCGGTCGCCTCCACACCTGCTCAGGGAGATATTTCTAGTCGACGATGCTAGTACTAAAAGTGAATGACTTTTTATGCTTGATTGTGATTATTGGTGCTTCCCTTCCACAATGAGCATTGAAGTACTTTGCTGCGTACGGGGTCCTCAACCGGTCACCTCCGCACCTGCTCAGGGAGATATTTCTAGTCGACGATGCTAGTACTAAAAGTGAGTGACCTTTTATGCTTAACTATGATTATTGGTGGTTCCCTTCTACAACGAACATTGGAGTACTCTGCTACGGACAGCGTACGGGGTTCTCAACCGGTCGCCTTCACACTTGCTCAGGGAGATATTTCTAGTCAACGACGCTAGTACCAAAAGTGAGTGACTTTTTAAGCTTGATTGTGATTATTGGTGGTTCCATTCCACTATCAACATTGGAGCACTCTGCTACGGACAGCGTACGGGGTCCTCAACCGGTCGCCTCCACACCTGCTCAGGGAGATATTTCTAGTCGACGATGCTAGTACCAAAAGTGAGTGACTTTTTTATGATTGACTAGCTTTCCGCCCGCGGCTTCGCCCGCGTGAAATTTTGTCTGTCACAGAAAAACCTTATCGCGCGCGTCCCTGCTTTAAAAACCGGGATAAAAACTATCCTATGTCCTTTCCCGAGACTCAAACTATCTCCGTGCCAAATTTCAACAAAATCGGTTCAGTGGTTTAGGCGTGAAAGCAAGACAGACAGACAGAGTTACTTTCGTATTTATATTAGTATAGAATAGTATAGTTTGTGATTCTCGTACTGATAGAAGTGTGAAAGTTTGTGAGGATGTTTGTTGCTCTCATGTAGGTACAAACTACTCTCAAGCAAAATGATAACAATATAAAGCTTGTAAAAAGATATGTATGTACCATCCTAGACTGCATCTCACTTAACACCAGGCGCGATTGCGGTCAAATACCTGCCTTGTCATGCATAAAAAAAAATGTACTGAACGGCCTTATTATTGCTATAGAATAAAATTGATTATGCAAAGCGATTGTTTCACCAACAAACAAAGAGGTTTTATTTGATGCGATACGGTGAACATGCATGTCCTTGTCCAAACAGATTATAATTATAGTTATGCCAGCAATTAATACGGCATTACATGTTTGATAAGGGACTAGCCTAATGCTCCCCATATCTCTTAACTATACTTCCACAAATATTATTTAGATGCGCATGGGAAATACCCTAATCTGAATTCGACCTAGGTACTTATACAACATTGAAGGTTAAGAATTTTTTATTTATTTATAATAATGTTTTGTAATAATAATAATAAATAATCATTTGTATTATTTAATTAATACTAACATAGTTTTAAGCTTACATTGTTACTAACACCACAGCTAACACTAAGAGTAGGCGCACACCGTTGATTTTTCGTCGGCCGATAGTATACCTTAGTTCTTTAGAAATTTCCCCAAATGTAAACAAATATGGCCAACTGACATTGACGAATTTTTAGTCTATGTCAGTTGATCTACTAGTGATGCGACAAAATCTCTCGTTAATCGCATCTGTAAATGTCATTTACGGACTGCGACAGACGATTATTAGATTTTTAAAGATCGTTTGTATAGTTAAGATCAATCCCTCTTCTGAGTGATGTTGTGAATAGTTGTGATCAGTAATGTGATCGTCAAAATAGGATCTTCTTAATCAAAGAAAATTTAAATTTCCCTTTTTTATTTGTTTAGGAAATATAATTTGAATTATACTGTCGGTCTAGACAAAGTGCACAATAAAATCGTAAACCAGTCGAAAAGTGGTCGAAATGCCTTTTTTATGTGACACTCGTCTGTATAATAAAGCTGAGCCCCGATTACGGTAACTTTTAACGTTTCCAATCCAGACACGCTTCTCGATTCTGCGATACGATTGGTCGTTCAACAGCGTACGTCAGCTGTTTTGACCAATCGTATTGCAGAATCAGAAACGCGTCTGGATTGGAGACGTTAAAAATTACCGTAATCGGGGCTCTGAATTCAAAGACTTCTTCGCAAAGTGTGTTGTTGCATTCAATGAAGAAAAAATAGATTGTTGAATATAACCTCGTTTATATTTTATTTTAAATTAATATTATCAAAGTAATTAATGGTCATTGAAATAATTGAATACTTGAAATAAAATCGATAAAATTTACAGATTATTATCTATGAATATTGTCTATGACTTACAGATTTTCCAGAGATAGGATCTAAATTTCAACGTCAAATGTCGATTTGACATTTTAACACGAAGCACAAATTTTCACCATCCAAATATTTTGTTAAAATATTTTGTTTTCAATGTTAGATTTCATATTTGTTTCATCATGAGAATAAAGTTGGTTTCATGAGCTTGTGAAATAATGTGTATGATATTAAGAAAACGTGAGTATTATAGTGTAATTGTGTGCACAAGTGTTTGTTTACATCGATGGAAATTTCTAAAGAATTAAGGTTTATAGTCGGGCAGTTGATCAGTATGGGCATGTATGGGAGTGCGCACACTACGCCGATTCGATTTGGCCGATTCTTCATACAAATTAAAATCGGGCACAACTATCGGCCAACTAAAAGTCAACGGTGTGCGCCTACTCTTATGGACCCTGGTTCGAAATAAACGTATTTTTTATTTATACATATTCTTCGGCGGTAGTTGTTGAGAGCAAACCTATGTTAGTTGGTTCCGCATTTAAATGTTTATTTCTCGGATCATAATCGTCAGAACCACAAACATTTTACATTATTTCGTTCAACTAAAGTGTCTAAGTGATATTATTATATAATGAAGGTACTGAAATTAAAGGTGTGAAAGTGATGTTTTTATTGAAAAAGACTATTTGTTCATACGGTGTTTACATTCAGTGTTTCTGTTACGGCGGGTATAACTAAAATAAAACTCAACAGTGACTTTCGGTTGCGTCAATCATCGGCATCACCCAACTACTTATTTCGTCACACCGCTTAAGCACAACGTTAGCGCGTTTGCGCTAGAACTGGATTTTTACACCGGCGTTTTCGAGAGGTTCCAAGTTCAAACCTCGGCACAAGAAATTTATTTGGATTTTTATTTAGACAATTTTAGTCATCCGCTACAATGAAGTTCGCATGTTGCAAGTCGACCACAGGTGGCGCCACCGATGTCATCGACTGTTCTAATTGTAAATTAAGTTATCACTTAAAATGTTTGTTCCCCACGGAAAAGAGGCCCGACTTGGCTTACAGAAAGAACTGGACTTGTCCAGAATGTGTTATGGCTCGGCCTCGGCAACTTAACAAAGATACGACACCGATAAGGAGCAACTCCAATAGCAGTAATGTCAACAAAGCCAGCTATAATGACAACATTACGTTTCGTAGAGGAGGATCCACATCCACTTCGTGCTCGCCTGTGAAGCAGGACATGCCCGAATCGGGTCTCGTAGCGCGCGATTGCGTCATAAGTCCAGATGAGATCAGATCAATAATAGCTACTGAAATGGGCAAATTGGCAGCTGAGCTTCGTGCAACTATAGCAAGTGAACTACGGACAATTAAGGATGATATTTCCAGTATTAAGGACTCAATGAACTTCATCAATAGCAAATTCGAAGAGTTAAGTTCAAGGGTTGATAGCGTTGAAAGTGATATCAAGTCATTGAAGTCAGCCGGCTCTGATGTGGGCCAGTTGAAGTCATCGTTATCTGTTATGGAAAATGAAATTAACAGTAGGGAACAGTGGGCTAGAAGATCTAATGTCGAGATTTATGGGATTCCGGAACGGAAAACTGAAAACCTAGTTGAACTTTTGGATAGTATCTCAGTAGCTTCTGGCTTCGATCTGAATTGTGCCAGGGACATTGATTTTGTGACACGTGTGGCTCCCAAAAAGACAATGAGTAGCAGTTCCAAGCCCAGGCCTATTGTTGTACGTTTTTTGGCTAGATGGAAAAAGGACGATTTCTTGTCCCAGGTTAGAAAACGTAAACTTAAGTGTAGTGACATCGGTTTTCAGTCGAACAATAATTTTATATATTTTAATGACCATTTGACTAGCTCGAATAAGTCTCTTTTGCAATCAGTGAAAAAAATAGCAAAAGATAAAAATTATCAATATGTCTGGGTTAAAAATTGTGCCATTATGGCTCGTCGCTCAGACACTAGTCCTGTTATTCATATAACTAACTCTAGCGATTTAAAAAAGATCTTGTAAGTGTTAATGCCGTGGTCAATGTCCTTTTCTCATCAGCTTACTCGAGCGTTTTATTTAATTTTATTTGTAATGAACTGTCATTTTTACAATTTTATTATTATGTCTATTTTATCCTTTTTGGGGCGGTCCTTGATGGTGCATATTATTTTATTACTGTTACAATAATTATTACAGGGGAATCAGCGTGTTATGTACGCTTTAATTTTAACAAAATTTTTATTTATTTATGTGTT